GGGGGGGTATTGCTTTTTTTTAAAAGATACATTCAGGGAAGGGGATGATGGGGGGGGGAGCTGAAAGCAACGCTAGAGGTCAAAAACTTAACTTGGAAGCAAATTTTTAGTATTTAGAATTTTGAGAACTAGCTTACTATAAGAGCTCTCTGCAAAGCGCGCGTTGGTGCGGGCGTTGTGTAGAATCGGGATCCGTCATGCCTTGTTATTGAACTAAAGCGTTCGCGTTTCATTGGATGGGGTGATTGTAATTTATATTTTAGCCTTCTGTTCAAGATTGGCAGATTTTCAGTGTCACTGCAATGCTCTCCCTCAGTTCTTACACCTCTCGCACTGAATAGGTCTACTTGAGCCATTCAAGTTACATGTATTACACTTATATTATTACTCTACTTTGAGTTTGAGCAATAATTTTCGTCTTCACGTTAGTTATATGAATCATGACACCCAGACTGGTTATTGACAGTTGATATTCTAGTTCTAGGTCTTTTCTCAGGCTCACAACAGGATTAATTTTTTAATAGGGCCTATAGTTTATGTAGGCTAATAATGATGAGGGGAAAATATAAATAAGTAAGAACAGACTGAAATACCAAAGTCTCTCAAGATCCCAGTACCACACTGACATGTTGTTGACTGTATATAGTGTACCTACATGTGTGTGTGTGTGTGTATTCACAAACATACATATATTAGATATAAATGGAGCACGTGCTGTCATTGTTATGTAACACGCCCCTGGAAAATGGATGAGGCCCCTCCCTTGGAAAATTGAGAAGCTGGGTTGGCAGTCATCCAGCATCATAATCATCTATTGTTTGAAGACTATACTACAAAATGTACATTTGCATTCATTTAAAGACATTTTGAGTTTTTGTCATTGACAGATGGGCTTTTTGGGGGATCATTCTTGACACGCAGCGACCTAATTTTTCCCTTGACTTGGGGTCTTGAAAAAATTTCCAGGATATGGTGGGGACCCTGCAGTAAGAAGTTATGAGAAAAGCTAATAATCTGAAATAAATATATATGTAGTAAAAATGTTAAGACATGTGATAAACAAATTATATATGATGGTACCTCCGTAGTCTTCGCCTAAACACGTGGTGCTCAGGAGGGCTCCAAAGGAGGCAATTGCTCAGAATGCATGTTTACTTGAACCTGTGCGAAGGGGAGAGTGTGGGACACAGCCATCTCATTTCTGTGATTATATATGTTAGTGATTACTGTTAGGGTACCTCATGCGGGTGTGTGTGTGAAAGGGAGGGGGGGGTGGTATCTGGTCACAAAGCTGACACAGACTCTCAAGGAACACTCACTCTATAATTTGTACAACGCCGATTGAAGGGGACTGTAAAACAACGGAAACGAAATGAGACTGTTTTATAAAGCTGTCCCCGTAAAATTATGCAAATTTAGAAGGCCAAATTTGCCCCAAAAAAGGCAAAATTATGCAAAAATTATGCAAGTTACCGTAACACCATTCACGACATGTTTTGCACTTTTTCAACACGAAGTTTCATGATTTTCATGTTTTATGTACAGAAAAATTGAAAACAGAACATATCAGTATCAGTAATTCGTTGTGTATTTGGAAAAGAAAACAATACACATCAGTTTAAAAAAAAAAAAACAATAAAAAAAATATAATCTCTGTTACTTTCAGCTGTAGATCTAGATCTATAGAGAGGAAAGAGAAATGTTTTTTTTAAAAAAGACATCTGGACCTCTGATGCTGGCACATTACTAAAACCAGGGACGCCTGTCAAAAATGAAACATCAGCAGACATGAGAACAACAACTTTTGATGGATTGAAAAATTGAACATGCTCAAGGAACAAAATCTCAACCCATAACCAAGATCTTCTAACAAGGAAAATAACCAACTTTTCACTTAAATGAGACTTATTACGGTGGCTACTTCCCTTTAGTCACATGGCGGGGCGTTAATTAATTGTTTTGGGAAAGAAAAGGAAAAAAACGTGAAAAAACGCGGAGAATAAAAAATTATGCAAATGTTGCAGAATTACACGAAAAAACGCGGCCGCGGCTACGGGGACAGATAAAGGATTCTCCAATCACAGTTTTATGTCTACAATAGTGCTCAAATGAGGTGGTGGGGAAAAAGCAGACAGACCAACTCACTGTACATGATGTAAATAACAGATAAAAGGAAACTGTTGGTGACAGAGAAGAGCACTCAGACACGTGATTTTCAAAAAAGTGACCACCCCCGAAAGCCTGTTCTCTTGCAACTCGGCAAATGCGTGGATTACTTCAGACATTCAGAGAGACTATCCTCTTGTGATTCATTGAACACGTACAATAAGTTCTTTGAGCTCAGCTGATCACTTTACTAAATCGTTAATGCTAGGACTATCTAGTGCTCTACAGCATTCATTCATGTGTATCGCCCATCATTAGCCTAAACATTAGAGTCAGTGACCAATTCGAGACCTTCCCTCAACCTCGAGGATGCATTTCAAAAGGCAATTTTAAGCACCCAAACATATTGCTTACCCCTTATGGACCTGTTTGGTGTGCAATGACGTTGCCCAGGACAGGTAATACATGTAATAATATTGCTCTCCCAATCTTACAGATAGGTGAGGCAGCGTGGTGAAATCGGGCGCTCGTCAAAATACTCAAAGTGTAGAAACTGGCATTTTTCCTCAGGTTTATGAATTATCGAATTTTAATTTGTTTTATGGGCTCAAAACCTTTCCTGCCCAATAAAGAACACTTTTCTGTGTGGATTTTACCGAAAAACAATGTTTGAAGGCACAAAAAATGTAAATTTTCAAGTTTCCACGGCCTCTCATTCTAAGGACATAAGTCATCTTTGGCGGCCATTTTCTCACTAATTTTACCTCTGAAACCAGGTGACCTTACCTCCTTCAATCCGACATATCTCGACTTCTATTCAAGATAAAGTGATTTTTTTTTTCACCCAAAGCAAGACAAATGAACAAGCTTTAAGATGATACCAATAACTCTAGATGCCCCAAAATTGACGACAGCCTGATTCCACCGTGTCTGTGGACGGCAGGGTATGAAAACACCCCTTCATCGTTTTCATTGTGCTGTGGTCACTGTGTGAGGAGCAGTCTTTGCCGAATTTTTATATTTGGTTGTCTAGACTTTTCTCATAAGATGCGCGCTGTCTTGGTTGTTGCAAAAGTTGTTTAGGCCGAGACTACTGTAGTTGTAGTCACTTTAGTTGGTATCCTGTTTGGACCATTTTATTTTTCCACAGTAACATTTTACCACTACATGTACCATAGGTTAATAATAATAATAATATTAATAATAAATAGCATTTGTAAAGCGCATATCCCCGCTCAACAGCAGGCTCTATGCGCTTTACATTATATTATAATAGGAGTTACTCATTTCAAGTTAGTAAGGATTACAGTTATAAGTCATTGTATTAATATCAAGAAGCAAATGGCTAATAACGACAGTGCTTGGTGAGCAAGTTCTACTGTTTTCGTCTTGTACCTTTACTGTGTTTGTTCCTTCCAGTATGTAACCATATAACTAATTGCTCTCTTCTACAGGTCATTGAGAGCATCCGCATGGCCCAAAAGGGTGAGGTCCGGCTGATCACCGAGTCCAAGAGCTCTTGTGCCATTCTGTAGCTGCCAGTGAGGGATGTCACTCCTCAACGCAAAAGGAACCAGCACTTTGTTGCCTACCCAAGTCTTTGCCATCATGAGGCAGCCTGTCTTATTGCTCCGATGTAGCTCTATTGACTTTTTAGCAATATCCCGCTTCTTCTGTGGACTTGTTTAGGTTATTCATTGGAGTACATAAAAATATCACCAGCAGTGAGAAAGCAAAGAAAATATTTCAGCTAAATATTCAGAGTTCAGGCCTGTTCGACAATGTGAACAGAAGTGGCCTGTCTGTGTTTTTTAAATAGAAATAAGCCTGTGAATTTAGGTGGCATGTTCCTGTTTGGGAAGATGGTACAGGTACATCTTTTTTCGCATCTGCATCAAATTATGTAAATTTGAGGATTTGCCTTTTATTCAAGTTTGTTCCATCCAAATAATGCCTCAGATGTTGGGTTTCCTTTTGTGCTGACAGCTACAATGAGGGAACTCTTCTAACAGCAAAGTTTCCTTGGCTTTCACATATTGCACCTGCATTATTCAGTCCCTATGACAACACATGCTCCAAACTTGTGGCGGGCATATGTTTGATGTATGACTGACAGGGTGCAGTTTGTCCTAGTTGATGAAGCTACTGTTGTGGAGTTCTCTTTTCATGTTGTCTTTTTCAGTCATTAGATTATATTTTTTCCTTATAAATAAAAGCTTGGATTTAACTTTTGACTTTTACTTTTAGTTAGTATTTTTTTAATGACTCATTTGTTTTGTTGTTGTTTTTTATCTATTGCCTTTAGGAGTTAAGGACAGCATCACTTGGTTTATTGATTCTTTCAGTCCCCATTCTAATCAACAACCTCTTCCTTACAAGCTTGACATTTTTGTCTCATTTGCGTTCCACCCTATTGTCACTGATGAAATGTTTAGACGCAAAGCAGCACTTTCGAAAGTCTTCTTGTTTGCCAATTCTTGTGCTTCACTTGCCTTTTCTTAACTTAAAGTACAGTAATGTCATAAAATGAATCACTCATAGTCATAGTGTAGCTGTGCTCTCCTTGACATTATTGAGAATAGAGACCTTTTTTTTTGCAGTACAGCAATGATCAGTTTGGCATGGAAACACTTCTCTTGTCACATATATATATAGACTTTGATTTGTTCACTCAAGTCCCTTTATTATATCATTAAATCAGTACTGTACATCAATTATTCACGGAGGATTATGTAGTATTTTTTAGTATAAAAAATCTTCAGACATTACATGCTAAAGTTCAGAGTTTTATATTCAGTATTGTGTTATCTCAAAGGTGAACTGTTCTAGTTTTGATATCGATTTATTGGTGTGCTCAAGTTATATCTTTCATTTGCATTTCGAATGCTCATTTTTCTGCCCTGAGTCTGAGATCACGTTATACAAGTACATGTTGATATTGCTAAATTATAAATTAAACTCTGTTCCCAACACAAGTCAGTGGGGACAATCCGAGTGAGCTTTGCCATCACTCAAAGTCTTATGTCACAAGTGGTAGCAATAGAATCTGATGCTGTTATAAACTTTTGAGAAACGTGGTACCTCATAAATATTTAAAATGTTATTGCTTCTTTGAGGTTGAATCCAGGCCTAACGCAAGTTTACAGATATATTTAGGTCCAGTCTAGGTCTGTACAATGTGATGAAAAGAATTTATAAATCATGTTCTGTTTTGCTTCAATGAAATTATTATTGACGTTTATATAATTTATAAGCAATAAAGTACCTTTTTCGCCAAGTATCTACTCGATTGTTAATCTGATTTTATTCCTTTCCTTAGATTATTGATTAACACTGACTGAGGAGATTTTACTTGAAAAAGGAGCTCATAATTATACTGATACACATGTTGTTTATTATTATTAAGTTTTAAGTGCAACAATACATGTAATCATGTAATAATGTAACGATTTAAAATATGTCACGACACATGGAATCAGGCGCTCATCAATTTTTGGGCATATGGAGTTATGCAACAATACATGTAATAATGTAACGATTTAAAATATGTCACGACACATGGAATCAGGCGCTCATCAATTTTTGGGCATATGGAGTTATTGGTAGGCCCCTATCATCTTAAATCTTCTTAATTTGTCTGCCTTTCGATTAAAAAAATACCCTTCCAACTTGAATGGAAGTCAAGATGTTTATGATTGAAGGAGGCGTGGGTCACCTGGTTTGAGCAGTGAAACTAGCAAGAAAATAGCCACCAAAGTTTGATGACTTCCATAGCTTGAGAGTCCTTGGATTAAAATTTACTTTTTTTTGTGCCTTTAATCAACGTTTTTCCGAAAAATCCACGCAGAAATGTGCTTTTATTAGTTTTATATAAGGATGTAAAAGGTGTTGATCTAAAAAAAAGAATTTAAAAACATAAAATTTGCCAAATGCCCAGAAAAAAACTGGTTTCTTTAACATTGTGTTGACAACCGCTTGAATTCACCATGATGCCTCTTTAACTCATTTATGTCTGCACAAACCAAGTACAAGTACTGTACAAACGTCCTATAGCTAACCCAATTTTTTAAACTAGTACTACGAGAGACAGACTGCTCAAGTGGTTAGAACTTAATGTTTTCATTAAATATGGAGTGGTTGTAAAAAGTCTAAAATGTGAGTGCTTTCCACATTACTGTGAAAGCATTATCTTCACTTTTTTTCACTTGTGGCATGAGGATGATCAACTTGATTGCATTATGAAGTGTGTTACACAAAAAGAAGACCAGGTAGAATATTTACTGAGTGATTTTCTGCCAGATAGTAGATAGGACCTGTACTGATTTACTGTTACCATTAACTAAAAGTACAGTCCAGCCTCTCTGTATCAACCTTCGATATAATGACATCCTCGATATAGCGACGTGATGCCCAATTCCCTTTTTTTCCTTTTATACATTACATGTAGTAATTTTTGGTTGCCTCTCTATAACTTAATATAACAACATTTTTTTCTGGCCCCGACGACGTCGTTATAGAGAGGCTGCACTGTAGCCTACCTGTAGTGATGATCTTATCTTTGTCTTAGTTTTTGATAGTACTGATGAGTAACTTGCGATCATGTTTTATCAAACAGGAAATGTCAATTTGAGGACAGCGTGTCACAAATCTTTCTCATTTTCTTGCAATGCTAATCAAAATCTACAGTAAAACCTTGATGACACAAACTTTATCATTACAGGACAAGAGAATTTATTTACATTAATCTTGTTAAACAGAAGTGCTTCGAAAAAACGTTAAGTGTCGAGTACGTTTTTCCATCAATTTAAATTTCCTCAAGGGTATTAATTGTTGGCTACAGTATTTCTCTGTAACAGGAAACAGCAGCCTACTTTTAATTTTACAACAGCAATACAGTGGAGTCTGCTTAAACTAGTTAAACTGAAGCCTGCAGCACTGATGGAATAAAATTGGGAACTTTCTTTCTGTCCCCGTCGTTTTATGCAAGAAAAATTCTGAAATTATGCAAACTGAGCCCAGAAATGTGAAATGATGTGATTCTGTTAATTTTGATAACAAAGAATGATAACGGAAAATAATCAGAAATTATGCTAAATTATCAAATTTTGCTAAATTATTCGGGGTGCACAAAACCACGGGGACAGTTATTTTCGTTATTTACCACTGTTTTCGGTTTAACCGTGTTCAGTCTAAGTTATTTGTAAACATGTTATATCATACATACTGGAACCTCTCCCCCCCAGCATCAGACCAACTGCATAATACATGTAGGGAAAGATAAAAGTGTAAGACTCCACCTTAAACCATTGTGAAAAGTGACGTATGACAAAGTCCTACTGAGCTGTCGAGATCATTGTAGCCTTGCTGCCTCCCAGGGCCGTGCAACTGACTGAAGGGTCTTTAAGGCCATTCCAAAAGGGGGGATATTAACATGTTCTTCTTATGCACAGCGTAATTGTAAATGGGCTGATTTTTCAATGTCATGCTCCTACCGTGCAAGAACAACATTGGGGGAACAGCTGCTTTTTCTTTCCTCATCCTTATCGTACTATCGTCCTTTTTTCTCTACTTCTTCTGTATGTTTGTCACTCTCTTGTCAACTGCAATTTCCGGGATCCCTTGATAGTCGAAGACTTTGAGTTTGAGCTGTTGAGGCTAGAGAGGTGAGCAGAGTTGGCCTGATTCTCCGTTTGGACTTCTCTGTTGACATCCACCCCTTGGCGCTCATATGACCTTATGCAGTTGCAAGTGCCGTAAATCCTTACACAACTAATATTAAGTAGCCTTGCTGTGTGGTGATACCCTCCTACTCCTACCCGTGAGCTTCATGCCTTTCACAACACAGTGCAAGTTTTTCTATATAAATTATTAAATGAATATTAACCAGGTGGTACCTTATAAAATCCTGCACTTCAATTTTTTTGATAAGTAGTTTAAAGTAGACTAGATTTATCTCTTGAAAACAAAGTTCAAGCAAATTTTAAAATTAGAAATCATATATATCAAATCTAAGTTACCACCATCAAAGTTGATATCATATTTGAGCGTATAAAGAGATCCCTTTTCCTCTGCACTGCAACATTCTTTAAGCCAAACAAAAGGGGAAACAGAATGTAATGTAGCAAGAACACAGGGAAGAAATTTGCAAAGTCGCTCTTTTGTTCAATTTTGGTAGCCTACTTGTACTGTACTATCCAGTGTTGGCTTTGGTTCCAAAATTATAGTCACTTTGACTTTGACGATGGGAAATTTAAGAAGCACATAAGTTTGAAAAAAAACCCTGAGGTTTTGCTCAATATCTTAAAGTCACCTCCATATATATTATATATAAAAAATTATTAAATGAAAAAACTTGATGATGTTTCACTTACTACATGTACACTTACTAATGTTACCAGCGGGATGTCACAATTTTGTCAGACAAAGACCAAATCAAAGATAGAAAGCAGACACCCACGGCCACACAATGACATTACCCATTCAAGTATTACATTCTCAGTTTTAGTTTTACTCAAATGGTTAAACTATGGCAAATTTTACTCATAATACCAATGTCTGTGGTGTGTGGTGTAGTAGTTAAGCACTTTCCTGTCGCACACAGGAGACCCCAGTTTGATTCCAAAGTAGTAGGGAGAACATTTTTATCGAGCAACTCGTTCTTCTGCTGAGATGTTGTATACCTCTCAGCCCCAGGTTGACCCTGACAGCAGGGTTGGAAGCCCACCTAATTGATCTAAATTGTGCCAATGGGGACGTAAAAGTAAAAACATGTATTAAAAAAGGAAAAAAACTTAATCTTCTCAATTATTTTCAGTGCCGATTCCAAAAGGTTAAATCTACTTGTTAAGATCACTGAAGCATCATAAAGTTTGCGTCATTTCTATGAAATATCTAACAAATATCATGTACCGGTAACAGTAGACCAGTATCTATAGTGTTGCGGTTAGGTGCTTCACCGTCGCATGCAGGAGACCCAAGTTCAATTCCCGAGAGGGGAGAATTTTTATCAAGTACCTCAGCAGTCCTTATCTTCGCTGTTGTAAGCAATCCACTTAAGTCCAAATTCCAAGAGTTTTTTAATTTTTACACCTTCCAAAAGTTTTATCTTATCAAAGATGCACCTTTATTCAAAATCATCAAAATTCAGTTTATTGTATGGTCAAGGCTGGCAATTTTCTTGCTATTCCTGATTCTGAAGGATCAACACAACAAAAAAACTAGTTTTTTGTCTCTGTGGTAAAAAGTAGGCCTACCCAAACGGACTTCGTTGCTTGCAACATCTTTATCATGCTGGGTTCTCGGGTCTCAGCCTGGATTAGCCTCAATAGGCATTGTTGAAGACTGCCTACTTAATAATGATCTAAATCGTGTTGATGGGGGGCATAAAAACAGCTACATTTTATTTTTTTAAACAAAACGTTACAGAACATTATCCTCCAGAGGCTCTCAGAGAAGCTGACAAATACGATGCATTTGATGGTACAAGAACTGTGACCATCATGATGCATTAGACAAATAAATAATGAAGCTCATTCTGCCACTGTTTTTGGTAGAGATGAAGAGTTCTCCATTGATACTTATTATACTACCCATGGTGCTTGTTTTGCAAGAGGAAGATAGTAGACAATTCAGATAATTGTGTGAAGAAAGACTCATCAAGAGAAAAAAAAAAAGGGGGGGGGGAGAGGAGAGAAGATAGATTTGGAAAATGACCCATATAATACACCAACTTGTATTTGAAATGTGAGCTTAGTAGTTGAGCCGATGCCCTAAAAAATATTTAAAAATTGTACAACATACAAGCAACAAAGCAGTACAAAAATGTATGGTGAGCTCATCCATTTTTATTTTTATTGCCAATTTCTTTTTCAATACTTGTCAGACAGAAGATGCCTGGGCAAAACAGGGGTATACATAAAATATGTGTAGAAACACTAGCACAAAATGAACTCTATTCAAACTATGTTTTTCTTTCGTCTAAAGAAAGGAATGTAAACGAGCGCAGCTGAAGTTTCCATGTACTCACCTGTTCTCTGAAGACAACTGGTCCTGCATAAAATCTAGTATCTGAACCTATGTGGCTAAACTATGTAGTTAGTGCACATACAACTATGTTGATTGTACTCAAACTCAAAGCACCCTTTTCAACACAAACCAAGTCATCTCATAAGTTGGATTAGAAAGCCTATTATTAGTGAATGACTGAGTGTTAATCTTCAAAAGGATTCACAACAGAAGAGTTAATAAAAACTTTGATCTTTTCAAACAACACACAAGTCTAGAAAACAATCAAAACCAGAGTGACATATATTTGAATCTTGTTTAAGTCTTACCAACAAAGGTAACAGCACACATGCAGTAACAATCCTCCAACTCCAATAATTCAACTAGCTTGGGCATCTCTTTAAATAAACGAGTTTATATCATGTATATAATATAATTGTAATTACACAGTGAACACAATACACGAAACGACACAATACACGAAACGAGAAAGGATCCAAAAGCAATATATAAAACTACAATCACAAATATGGAAATACTCCTTATCATCATACCAACACATGTGTATCTCTTCAAACAGTGCCTAATAACAGACCCAAATTATATAAGGAAGGAAAGAAAACGGGGCAATTGACAATGCAATGTGAAATACACAAATATCTAAAATTCTTCAAACCCTATTAAGAAAATCTTTAAATTACTATTTAATTACGCCAATGTTCAAAAGGAGCATGATTTTAAATGTAAACAAAACTAAAAAGTGAAATTTTATGATACAACATAGAGGCCTACTCATACTGATTAACAAAAAACTCTAACCAACCCAACCACAGACGACAAAGAGGCCTACATCACATCAAAGTCAAGGCCCTTCTCAAAATAAATTTCACTGTGCTCGTTAACCCTGCTTATGCAATGTTAATGACCATAGATCTGGACAAATGGGTCACTGGCTGTGAGAAATACTGCGGGAGTTAATCTACATAAGCTCTCATCAGTGGGAAGTGGACGGGTGGTTTACTTTTTCAATCTTTCACCAAGGCACTCACAACATGGAATTTTATTGACATGTGTTAATTTATTAATTAAAATCTAAAACATAACATTTCCTTGTTGTGATCATATATATGCAAAAACCACTTTAGATGAGAACTCCGGTCTTCTATTCTCGCTGAAAAATTGCAGCATTGGTTAAATTAACTTATATTGGCATCAACCGTCAAAGTTAACCCACTTCGATTTTTTGTCAGCGCACTGCAGTCAGTTTGTTGTTGCGGTTAGTCGAAGAGGTCCAAATACAGTACATCTACAAGCCACCCCCATTAGCACAAGCCAGGTTATAACATGTTGAGAAGTGTAGGATGAGCCTTAATCTTATGAGAGCGTATGATAACTGCCACATTTCATCAGATTAGGACACAAGGCCAACATGTGCAATCATAATGCCCACCAACATCCCCTTCAAAGATAAACGGCTGTCAAATACTTCTCATCATGCAAATGAGGCACAATCTTTATTTTATGATTTGAAATCGGCTTAAGATATGTTAGCCGGCGGTTGGAGGGCGTCACAGGTTGTTGGTTCTACTTCTTTCCTATCTTTTTGTTGTTTCTATCCGTCTTATTTTTTCCTAGACTAAATGGCAGTAATACCGTCAATGTGTACCTCTTTACTCAAACAAATAACACTTTTAAAGTAAATGTATAGGTTCAAAAACAGAACTTAATAAGAGGTAAGAGGCAAGAACAAAAACCACTTGACCAAAACTTCTGAACCATTCAAAAATGTTTTACAACATAATTGGGAATACATACCGGTACTAAGTGTGTGGTTTTGCAAGGAGCACGAAAAAGAAGACCAAACATTTTTTTAAAACCCGTACAAACATAACAGTAAAAGTCTACTTGAGCCCTCCATTCTGAATTTACTTGACCTACTATGCTCTTTCAGGGTCTCCATGCTATGGAGCCACGAGTGGGTCACTGACATCATGCACAAAAAACACTTTTCACTTACTTTAAGAGAGGGTGTCTCAAGTAAGTGTTTCTCAAAAAAAAAGCAATCTAAAACTGCAAATAACTAATAGCAAATATTTCAGTACGATATGATTTAGCTGTGGAAAAAACATAAAAATGAATCCCAACTAATAGCTGAGGGAAAAAAGAAATTTGAACACATATATAATATCAAAACATAAGACGAATTCTGAATAATTAAAACAAGAAAAAAAATTCATACACACGAAGATGGATGACAAAAGAAATCAGAAAACACCATACAACAAAGAATTAGTTTTTAGTCAGGGTTGAGAAAAGTTTATTGTTCGTAATAATTTCCTTTCTGTATTTAGTAAGGTATGTCTACAGAGATGCCAACTGGCTAAAAAAAAAATTTTGAACTTGTTGGGGTTGGACACCATGGAAACGTGCACACGGAGACTCAAACTTTACGAATCATAAAGTCTAATGCATCTTTTATGAAGTTTATTTTCATATTCATATGGTTCAATACGGCATGCAAAAAAAGATTAATATGTAAATAAATGTATGAGCAGGACTATACCACAAAATCCGGACAATGTTAGAAATATGGATTTCCCTATATATTGCGGAAAATCAGCACCTCTGTGTTTAACTTCACGACAAAACCCATCCCAGTTTCCCTGAATAAAAAAGATGCAAAAGACATGTGAGTGGAAGGAACCATGAAGATTTTAATAAAAGCTCAGCATTACCTCCATTTTAATCAAAGCTCAGCATTAAGTCAAGCTGTTGCTTTTATTTCAATATTCACAACCACTAACACCAGCGTCCATGCGGTAAATTGAAATGTTCTTCTTACATAGGTATTTACATAAACTCACTCTGTTCTTTTAATTTACAAAATTACATTTGTGGTGGCACTATGTCCAAGCCTCTCTGTTTCTATGAGGCCTCAACATAATAACAACAATGTACTTCTTTGAAGAATGTGTATTGGAGACCAAAAATAATTCAATAAAGGTACATGCATGCAAAATAAAATTTTCAACAATGACACATTGAAGCAAGCTTTATTTTTACCTTGGACAAAAAAAACATTAAAAAACTATTTACAAGCAAAGAACAGTTGACAATAAAACAAACAATTTATTAAATAAGTCATCATATCTACATAGAGTTTTCCTCATTGTCTACCATAGAGAACTGTAAAGGGCCGTCTTCTTCCTCGAGGCCCAGGTTCAGTCCTGCCAGAGGTGACACATCTGACACTGTCAACGACATACGGTCAAGGGCATGGCGGGGAAGGGGAGGGGAGAAAAGAAAACAATCTTTAACTACCCACATGCATGCAGCTTGTGCAGACAGAATAACAGCTATATATTGCATGGCATGTTCTACAGCTTGTGATCTCATCCATAATACCAGTGTACAACTTCACTTTCTGGATAATTTTGCTTCATGAAATTTTAAAAGACCCAGACAAAATTCAGCGGATTCCCCTCATAACAAACACAGTTACACCCAAAACAGCTGTAAACCAAAAGAAAAGAAAATCTCCAATTCTTTTAAACTTCTATTTGAGCAACCTCTCTAAACGGGAAACCCAGTTAAACAAAAAAAATATGATGGTCCCATATTAAGTGGCCTTCGCTATATATTTAAACTTCAAAACCAGCAGTGATTACAGAACCACAAATCAGAGGGACGCCACAATTAAAGAAGAGACAGTATCGAATTACTATTTCATGAAATTTTCATGGTCAAAACTTAGTTGCCAAATAGGCTACCCTCCCTTACACTGTTTTAATAAAACATCCCGAGAAAGGTGTCTGAAAATACAGAACTTCTCCAGAACAGTAAACGCACACACCGGTAGAGCCAAAGCAGAAGAAAGTATTGAAAGTACATTATTACGACAAGGGTGGAAAAACGAGGACAAAGTCCAGGAAAAAAGAAATTACAATTGAACTATTGAACAGCACAAAAAGCTCACACAACTAAAGCTCTACTAAAATCACATAAAACGAAAACAAACAAAAAATATCCAAGTGTCAAGCACAAAGGTTGGGCAGTCCATTATATCGTGATATCATAGTAAGAAGATAAGTAAAGAGTATACAGTGCTGGAAGACCTGCATATATCTTCACTGCAAAAACATTGCAGACACACTGACAGGTCTTTGTATCAAGGAAAAGTCCACAACTTGTTTATAAAGACCAAGAGCAGTTACCTGAGACCCTGACTTCTGGGGAAACCAAAGCGAGAGATCTCCTTTGAGAAACAAAGACACAGAGATGGAAGATGCAAAACAGCAAGGATTTCACCACAGAAAAAGTGAAAGGGACTTCGTTTTTTTTTAACCATGCAAATCAGTCTCTGATAACTTGTATTTAAATATGTAAAGGAGAACTGGAGGACTGGTGAAAGGAGACAATGACAGTACAAAAGAAAACAAGTACGAGTTTAAAATTCGAAGAGACAGATGATAAATAAGTGCTAACAAAAGGAATAGTCTAACAAGCACGTGGCAAAATTGGCAGAACTCAAAAATCTTCTCATTATGTACCAATCTGGCTATGAACTTGTTTCATACAATAATATTATGTGTTTGCTATCTGACCATCTTGTGGTTAAGGGCTGGACTCACAATCATAACAACTTAAGTTTGATATTCAGCATCAGAGGATTTATAAAGACATTGCATCCTTAAAAAAACCCACTTTATCTTGTTTCTGTAAATTTAGCAAGCCGTAGTTGAGGCAGTTTGGCAATGGCATAGACAGAAATTTTGTGAATGTTCTTAAATTTAAAGTAATGATGGGCACAGCTATCCAATTATTACAAATTAAAGTGAATCCTTTTCAGATCCCTTAAAGTTTCATTTTAAAAAACTATCACTATGAATATAAATGAGAACTAAGCATCACAACAGTCACTGACCTGGGTCAAGGCCAGAGTCTGAGTCCATGGACACCATCTCCGAGTCTGTGGGCTCACCAAAGACAACACCTGACATAGGTGGGTCGTTGGCTGGGGTGGGGGAGGACGTCTGCTGCTGGTCCAGACTCTCCCAGAAAGGAGTGGTCAGCGCTACATCTTCTGAAGCGGCGCAGCTGTTTGAGGAAGTCGCCAGAGGCTCCGCTATCCCTGCATTCATCAGCATCATTGCATCAGTCACAGAATCAGGCTCGTCTGCTTCCTCGTTGATCTCAAAAGGAACTGATGGTTGATCAGCCTCAAGCAACTGCTGGCCGGCCTCGACAACGTCCAGAGCTTCGGTGACAGTGGCCTCGCCGACTCCAGTCTCAACTACAATAATGCCAGCAGCTTCTTCTGTCTCTTCTGTAATGGTGGCGTCACTATCCGAATCAGAGACACACTGTGCATTGTCAGGATCTACTACTGGGATGTCATTAATAGTCGGCACATCTGAGGCATTAACATCAGATGAATCAGCAGAGATTCCAGAGGGGTTTTCCAGGTCCAGCTGGGGCATAGGTACATTATCCTCGACAGGGTCAATTGAGGGATCTGTCATCTCCACCTGACTTGCTGCTTCTTGTTGGAACTGACAGAGCGAAATACTCATTTCGACACTGTCAACACCTTGAGAGCATACTGTGTCAGGCAGGACTTCCATTTCCCCACTCCCCAAGGTGGTATCTGCCTGGCCCTCCGCTATATATATATCTGCCTGGATCTCCGCTGTATCTGCCTGGCCCTCTGCTATATATATATCTGCCTGGCTCTCCGCTGTATCTGCCTGGCCCTCTGCTATATATATATCTGCCTGGCTCTCCGCTGTATCTGCCTGGCCCTCCGCTGTATCTGCCTGGCTCTTCGCTGTATCTGCCTGGCTCTTCGTTGTATCTGCCTGGCTCTCCGCTGTATCAGCCTGGCTCTCCGCTGTCACACTGAGGTTGTCCTGGAGCTTGCTTCTGGTCAGTCGACTGCTGGATCTCGTCTTTTCTTCTGCAGCCATTTGTCCTCGAGTTAGTCGCTTGCTTCTCGTCCTGCCTGAAGATACCCCCTCCACAACCACTGCCGTCTGTTCTTCCTCCAAGTGTTCCCCCGTCGTCTCAGAGAGACTGGGAGTCTCACACTTCTCTGCAACAGGCTCACTGCTGGCCGCTGAAGCCCTGCTCTGAGCTGCGCCTCTCCTACCCCTCCCCCGCCCTCCTTTTTTACCTCGACCTCTACCGCCTTTCACTCTGCTCACCTCCAAAACTTCTGAGTGCAATTCACTTTGCTCGACAACAGGTACATTCTCCACATCACCAGACCCTGCATCAAGACCCTGTTCTCCACCTTCTAGACTCTGCACAACATTTGCTCCACCTACACACTCTGGAGGTTCATTCCCTCTTGCACTGACTTCATGCTGAGGTGCAGGGACGCACAGATCCTCCACCATAACCACAGGTTGAAGGGACGACACTTCAGGAGCTGAAACAGGTAATGAAGACACTCCGCTGCCTTCGACTTCACCAGCACTTTCACTTTGCTCTTTCAAATGTTTATAATAAGCATCACCTTCAGTGTTTGCGGGGTAATCAGCTTCAGTCAGTCCCTGCTTTTGTTGTACCTCCGCTGCCTCATCCTCTGGAACGCAAGCACCGCCACCAGCAGGCTCAACATTGGGTATTTCAGAACTGCCGCCAGCTTCAGCAGAAGTCCCACTGACAACATCTTCAGGTCTGGCATCAGCCACGGCAGCCTCGGCCTCTTCCTCATTGACCTCTGAAAGGACAATAAGATTCTCTCCCAGCATGAGCTCTGCCATCCTCTCAAACTCATCTGTGTCCATCTCATCATCACTGACAGCACCGCTACCAGATCCCTTACCAGCAGCAGCTTCATTTGATTTCTTCTTCACCTGACGTTTGGCTTTTGGTGTCTTTGCTTTCCTACTCACACTTTTGATATCTTTTGCTTGTGATGCTGTTTTCTGTTTCACAGTTTGTTTGGTCTGAGCGACAGACTGGGCGTGCCTGGCAACAGACAAGTCTGCATAAGCAAAGCAGGCAGTGAGGTCACTAATCTCTCCTTCAGACGAGGGCACGCCAGGCTTTTCTTTAGCCCCTGCCTTTGGTGCTGTTTTCACTTTGGCCTTGGTCGTGGTCCGCTTCAATTGGCTTTCCTTGGAAACATGAGAGGACTGTTTCTCTTTACTAACAGCCTTAGGATCTGATTCCTCTCCAAAATTCTCCATTTTCTGCTCAGCCTTAATCGAAGCAGTTCCAAGTTCTGTGGTACTGTCCACAGAGTGAAGGGATTCTTCTAGCTGGTTATCATGGGCAGAGTCGACACCAGGGGCTGGCAAGACTCCCGAATCTGCTTCTGCTAGCATAACATCAACGTTTTTGTTAGCCGAAGAGATTACAGCTTCTGTGGGACAACTCTCCGCAAAAGAATGACTTCCGTCAGCCACTTCAGTTTTGCCTTCCAAACCTGAATTGACCGACCCCTGGTTTAAAATCAGATTTGGAGCAGTTTCACCCTCCAATGCAGGCATTTCAAGAGACACAGTTACTGAAGTTTCTCCAGTAGATGCAGACAACTCTGTAGTAGTGGAGTCAGCAGTTTCATCTTTCAATAGAGGAAGGTCAGTTAGTGAGCTGCCTTCAACCTGAGTTGACGACATCTCAACCTTTTCAGAAACACCCATCGAGGGACCATCAACAGCCCCACCTCCCACTGAGGTAGAGGCAATTTCAGGAAAAGGTATGTCACCATGTAATTCAGAGCTTCCAGGCAGCGAGTAAGCCTGATTTGTCAAATCGGGAGCACTGTTTTCAGCCTGTACATTTGCTTGATTTTCTGAAGGAGTGGCTGGCACAAGTCCCTCGTAGTCAGTTGCTGTAGAAACAGCGCTATCTCCGCCAAGGTGCCCAGTGTTCGCAGGATACAGAAAGCCCGTTCCAGCCTCGGATTCAGTACCAAATGTCTGTGTAGGATATTGGGAGGCCGCCTCAACTTCAGAAAACTGAGTCACGGACATCTCACTTGGCATCTGCGCTCCAGACTCTAGGGGCCTCTCCACATCCTCAGCATCATCAGAGTCCTCCGAAGACGACTCGCTGTCACTGTAGATCCTTCTCCTCTTCTGCTCAAGTTCCTCCAGCAATTTTTTCTCCTTCTTCTCCGCCTGCTGCTCCTGCCTCAGCTTCTTTTTGATCATCTTCTCTTTCTCTTGAGCTAAACGGGCTTTGATTTCATTCTGTATCTTGGCCTCAAAGTCTTCGTCTGTAATGCTCTGAGGCCCCACAGCCTTCAACTTTGCCTTTGGATTGGCAATATGACCATGAGCCTTGGCAAACAATGTGTTTGGATTTTTTTGTTTTTGCTTCCCTTCTTTCTCTGCCCCTGAACTAGTAGCTTTGTCCTCAGGAATTTCACTGGGTAGTAGCTCGGACTTCACATAAACTACTGGCGGACGTACCGGCACCACTGCCATGGGTTTCTCCTCCTCTGCATCTACATCAATCCCCATCATACGCTTTTCTTCTTCCAATTCCTGATCTTTCTCCCGCTGATAATCCTGCCACGACTTGACCGTGGGAACCTCTTCAGGGTTGGGGGTAACAGCCGGAGCCTGCTCTACTGGGACAGAGGATGTTGGCTCATCTGGGATGGGAATGGTCGACAGGTCAAGATCTGTTGGGTCAACAGGCACATCTGACACCCCGCCCTCTCCAATGGTGACAAATTTCTCCAGAGGCTCGACTGGAGATTCCTGAGTCTGCCTGTTGGAGTCGTCAACCTTTTCTGCACTATCAGAAGTCAAAGGAGTCCACGGAGGCAGAATAGAGCTGCTCTTAGCTTTCATTTTTGGCACTTTGATGTCCACATCACCAGAGCCATCATCCTCCTCTTCTTCTATTTCCATATCAACCACAGTCATGTTCTCAGTTTCACCGACATCTTCATTATCTGAACCAGCATCTTTGCCCGAAACTCTCAGATGCCTTTTAGCTCCCGTTTTACCTTTGCTCTGTGTTTTATCACCAGATTTTTCTGCTGCTTTACTATTTTTGACAGATTTAGATTCAGACTTCTTTGACGAAGGAGGTAAAGGAGGTGCTGGTGGTTTTTCACGAGGTAATGGTGGTGGGGGTGGAGGAGGATTGGGGGGAGGAGAAGGACTCTTCTCCCAATATTTTCTTATCTCCTCTGGTGGTTTCCTCCCCTTCCTCACAGACAAGCTTGTTGCTTTTTCCAGGAGGAGTTGTTTTTCGTACATGGGATTCTGTTTGATGAATTCCTGGGAAAAATAAAAAGAATAAGTTAACGATGAGATATATAATTATACTCATTTTTAATGTAAAAAAACAAAAAATTATATCTTCACAAATTGCAATACTTTTAACATTGAGGTATATTTCATTCTGGTTGCTCATGGGCATGATTGGGTCAGTTTAGGCAAAGTTGATTAATGGTAGGTTCAGTGCACACTACGAATAGACCCCTTCTTCGTTATTTCAGAATTTGACCCAGACAGTTAAGCATAGAAAACTTTGACCAGCACAAGGTGTTGGACACGACCAGTCCCTTCAATAATGACCTCAGTGATTGACTGTAACATATTCACAGTTGCTGTGTCGAGAGGTTCTTGAAATCCACAGACATGGGAAATTCCAATAGCTTTCTATCAGCCTCTGTTCATTATCACATTCCCCACACCCCAAAAAATTTTTTCCCTGGCCTTGTGATTTGTAGGCTACAACCCCAAAGCCTTGTAATCAGCCATTCTTAGCCAACAGCAACAACCCATTTGACTTGCGACCTTGAAAAACAAATATGTTTGATTTTTAAAGGTCACAATATAAATTGATGGAGTTTAACCACATTGTGCCAAAACGGTAACTTGCTTTAGCCCCACTGTAAAAAAAAAAATCTGGGTGGCCCCAACTGAATCAAAACTGGCAGTGTGAGCTGGGTATTACTAAACCTTATTTGACAGAATGTGAGATCGGAAGCACTTACACATAGCAGTGTGTAAATATCAGATTTTCTTACAAGCCAAAGAGTAATCAGACAACAAACAAACTAAATATCAAGTCCTTAAGCCTCTAAACAAAAAATCTCTGACAGCTAACACGAAAGGATTTTCAACCTGGGTTTTATTTTCCTTTTTATTCTTTGCATTACAACATCCCTTCACACACACACACACAAAATCAAGCAGATCTGGTTTACACAAAGAAATTTTGGGCCATTTCATCATTTCTCCCAGTTGACTCTCATGTCATTGTCACACACCAAGAGTTCAATAGGCTAAGACTCTCCATCGAGTTTTCTTACCCACTCCTCATGAGCAGCAAGTCTAAAAGAGTGGGTTTCTTTCATTGGGCTGGGAGATAAGACACTGGAAAGCTGCCAGCCGTTCCTAATTTAATGGGAAAGGTAAGTTGTTCCCTTTCGAAGTACAAGGGTCCTGCTTAGTATTGTCTTACATGGAACTCCTACAACAATGTCCTTCTCATAATTTCTAATAAAAGACATTTTAAAGAATGAGAAAAGAAACCCTAATTCAATGTCCATAATTTTTAAAGTCAAACAAATGTTCATACATCCCCATTCTGTATGGACATTTTCATTTTGGTGGTGCTGAACAAACTCGAAGTTTAGTTTTAATAAAGAGTTTTATGGCACTTGCAACACAATATGGTCATATAAGTGCAGAAGGCTAGAGATGTTACAAGAGAGTAACAACCAAAAAAAGGAGCAGAGATCAGGACAATAGATGTTTGATAGAAAAGAAGGAGCAAACCGCACCGGACCACCCGTCAACCACCCACACAAACTCAAATGGAGACATCACAAATTCCAACTAGCATTCAATTCAGCGAGTACTTACAGCATATTTGTTGTCGTGCTCTTCACTTTTGAGATGTGCACTGGCAGTCTCATAGTCACCACAATAGGACTTGCACACTGTGCAGTAAAAGCCTACAACAGGGAACATCAACTCGATGCCTGAGGAGGGACAGGAGAGGTGTTACACTCGTTTTCAAGATGGTACTCCTGTATCAAAATTTCCTTGCACAATAGAACAAAACAACAATGCTAACTGTGTTACAGATAGGAAGTCAGGAAAGCATCGTGAACTCATGAACAAAAAACATTTTCGTTAAGAGGGTACAGTGTACCAAACTACTGATCAGACATTTATTTCAAAACCGAACGAAATGCACATAAATAAACTTTGCAAGCAAAAAAAGTTTCCACTCTCATTTAAGATGGAGCTTTAGTTCAACGAACAATCTTTTACTTTTAATGGGAATGTGCAATCCAGTTTACAAATTGAAAACCACAGCGTTGAAATCTTTTCTAGTTTCATCAACAACATTCAAACAGAGGAACCCCTTTTCAAAGACAACTTTACTGACAACTTGCAAATGTTTCATAGCTCTTTCCTTAATTAAATAATTCTGAAGGGCATGACCAAAATTAGTCAAAAGAACCTGTATCATGACAACAGTCTTCATTAAAGTACAGTCAGAAAAAATGTAATAATGTATAGCCAAAACACGCAAAATTCAAATTTCCCCTTCACAGCGATCTTACAGATAGAAATTTCCAATGTAAAAGTTAAAAGGTTTTCCAAACTCTAAAAACACCTGAAATTGGTAAAGAAATAAGTTCCTGGTGGTGCCCAGTTGACGGATTTTTACATTCACCTGCTCTGATTCTAGAATTTTTCTTGGCTCAATAAGTTGTACCCTACGAACCATACTTTTTATAGAATCAACAATTTCACTGTTGAAATACAGAACTTAAACATGCAAAGTCAAAACGTTGATGATCCTTATTTTGTTTTTTGTTGGGGTTTTTTTTTGGGGGGGGGGGGGGGGGGGTGGCTGACTCATTGACCCTCCCTCATTTCAAATAGAATTATGTAATTTTCAATACAATTTGGCCACCTGCCATTCAAAGATTAGAAAGTAGAAAAACTGTAGGTTTTCTAGGTTAACAATCAACACAGTTTGCTTAACACTTTCCACCCACGCAGCCCGCAGAGCGTGCAACTCTTATCCCCACGGACCAGGAAACAGATACGGTACATGCTATATCACACTGTTGCCGATCGCAGGGTTCCTGCCATGAACTTCCCATCAAATTCAAGGAGGTTTCAAGGACAAATTTTTTTAATTCAAGGAGGTTTGGTCAAGAAATTCACGACGAAAGCCTATTTTCGATAGGCCTATACTTGCCGGAAAGGAATCATATCATAGTTTCGATTTCCAACAAAAACTGTTCCCAGGGTGACTGCCAACCCAGCTTCTCAATGTTCCAGGTGGGCTCATCCATTCTCCAGGGGCAAGTTACATAACAAAGGCAGTGCATGCTCCATTTATATTTTATATATTATAATATATACACACACGCGCGTGCGCACACATGTAGGCACATTATATCCAGTCAACAACATGTCAGTGTGGCACTGGGATACTGTGTGACTTAAGTGTTTCAGTCTGTTCTTATACTCATTTATAATATTTTCCCCTCATCATATTCGCCTATATAAACTATATCAAAATGAATCTTGCTTTGAGCCTGAGAAAAGGTCTAGAATCAGAATATCGACCGTCAAGAACCAGTTTGGGAGTCAAAGTTTATATAAAAAACGTGAAAGACAAAAATTATAGCTCAAACTCAAAGTAGAGTAATAACATGAATGGCTCAAGTAGACCTATTCAGTGTGAGAGGTGTAAGAACTAACTGTGGGAGGGCAAGATGCAGTGACACTGAAAATCTGCGAATCTTGAACAGCAAGCTAAAAGAATATAGAACAATACATATAATTTACTATCACCTGCCCAATGAAACGGGAACCCTTTAGTTTAAAAAAACACGGCTTACAAGGTTCGAGTGAGACATCCCGATTCCACACAAGGCCTGCACCAACGCGCGTTTTGCAGAGAGATCAAGATCTAGATCTAGATCGAACAGCAATCAAAATTCTGGAACATAAAATCTGCTTCCAAGTTCAGTTTTTGTCATCCGGTGTTGCCTTCAACCCCATCCCGCCAACCCCCTCCCCCGCGTGCATCTTTTTTAAAAAAAATCAATACCCCCCATTCCCGAGTCCTATTCTTCCCAGCGCTCAGACTTTGCATGAACTTTGGTGACCTCAACCATCGCCGATACTCACGATGTGACGAAAACGCACAGGTTCAATGACCGGTCACGATGGCGAGCCCAACAAGAAGCTTGTATTATTTTTTTTTCACAAGCGGCAGCACAGGACAAATGATTTATTTTCAAGACGACACCGCGTTTGTAATGCAGAACCAGAACCTGCATGTTACAAGTGTGGCGTGATCAGACTACTATAGGCCCTACCAGCAAATTTCTGGGCGGTAACGAAAGCGAAAGCAGATCTTGATTTTCCCGATCGAGCTTCGGTATCGCACATACTCTTCCATTTGTTGCCGCAATAACCGCCTGTGCGCGGGTAACGTACTCTCGGGCCGAGAAAAGCCGAATGAATATTATATCACAATCGCGACCAGCAAAAATGGACTTAGGGGCCCTCGGGATTCCCGGGGCCTGGCAGTCACGCTGTGTTCCTGTCCGGTCTGGCAAAATTCAGGGAGTTTTCAAGGACCATTTTTCCTTGAATGCAAATTCAAGCAATTTTCAAGGTTTTTCTTTGAATGCAAATTCAAGCAGTTTTCAAGGACTCCTTGAATTCAAGGAGGCCACGGGAACCCAGCGATCAGTGTCCAGTGGGGAAAAGGTACGGCTTCTTACCGAGGGGGCAAAGTGTTAATACTCACATTCAAGACAAAGTTACAGAGAAAGATCAAAGAAATCCTAGCTAGCCTGTTAATCGAGAATAAAACGCAAAAAAATAACATACATCATCAGTGTTTTGAAGTCTACATTTAAGAGGACACAAAATGCACATACCCTTGATTCTTCTACCAACTGGTTGTCCAACTTTTCGAGTGGAGGATTTGCTTGAAGAGTTTTCATCTTTCCAAGGTCTTGAAACAAACTCAATGTTCTGTACATATGAATAAGATAGTATACATAAATATGATGCACCCTGTTTCAATTTTGAAAATCAAAGAAATGATATACATTGCTATTTATGTACTAAGCTAGATTTTCAAGCACATTGTGACAGAAAACTCAATACATTTTTGTTTTCAATTTCAATCTGCAATCAGTAAATTTCTGTACATGAATGCAAATCCTGCCTTCCCTTCTTATAACATGAAGCAACATTTGCAGAAAAGTTATATCTAAGTTTATTTACCACTTGTCCACAGTTTTACTTCTTTGAGCAGCACTGGCATCTACATTTTTCTAGTAATGTTTCTGTTTAAAAAGCATCCTGACAATAACTTCACCAAAATTAAATATAACTTTAAAAAACAAGGGTGATTTTGGCAGGCTTTGCTTGACAATGCTCTGCTCTGCTTTGGGGAAGAAAAAAAAATGTAAACATACACACATTGGACTATACACAAACTAATTTTGTTCGAAAAAAAAAAGGAAAAAAAAATTTATTATTTTTTTTTTAAACTCCCTTGCTGTTCATTTTAAGAGACACTCATGATAAATTTCTAATCATCTGAAAAAAAATTGAAACACTAGCACTAAAAAGAAGGTCCAGAATAACAATAATTCTCATGAGTAAAAATTAAGCCGTCAAACCTCGTGATCTTCCCACCCCCCATCCCCCCAAATAAAAATTATACTTCACGCCCTTACCAATGGAGAGGGAGAGGGAGAGGGAGAGAGAGAGAGAGAGAGAGAGAGAGAGAGAGAGAGAGAGAGAGAGAGAGAGAGAGAGAGAGAGAGAGAGAGAGAGTCAAAACTGTTTCAGATGTGCACCCACTGTCAAGGAGGAAAGTGGTTGTCTAAGGCAGAATCGATAAAATTGAAGAAAACAAACCATTCCCTTCTAATCTTAACACACACTTCATGATAATTCTAAGCACAAAAGGAGTACATACGCACAAAAGGAGTACATACCCCCATATGTTTCTTTCCATGGCAATGCTGAAGAAACTGGTCAGCAGAGTTACAGTTACTCCCACAGGCAGAACACCAATGATTTCCTCCATCAAAGTACTCATAGTAAATTTTGTTTTTGGAGCTTGACAAAGAGCTTGAATGTCTGGAGCTGGACGTTCCACTTTTTTTTGTGTCCTCGTTTAGCTACACAAAAGAAAAACAAAGTAAAATATGAAGACCCTTCACAAGAGAGGAAATCTCCAAATAAGACCATGAGTACAATAAACTGGCATGCATCGCCCTCTAAATACCAACTGCTAAAACTTAAATAATTCTATCTTTACAACAGCAACAACAACAAATAATATCATATATATCATCACGTGTAGGATGCATGCATGTAAGTACCATCATGTTTGTTACTGGACTTTTTATTACCAACCACACTTACAGTGCAACAAGGAGCAGCCATCTTGTTTCAAAGTACTGATTTTACTGCATTGCTCAGATCCATTGAAAAGTCGCTTTTTTATTTCCAGAAAGTCAAAGAAAAAAAATTAACTTTTGTTTCTTAAAGAGATAAGATGAGGGGCAACTCAGAAGCCCTGATTTTAAGGATAGAAACTGCATCCTATACATGATGATATAATATGAAACTTCAGTATCAGAATACAGAAATGAATAAGCCACAGCCTTTTATCCCTATCTCCACCACTAAACATAATATGAATACCAACCTTTTCAACTTTTTTTTTCGCATTCGCGGATTGACCATCTTTCGGCTCCAGCAGTGGCAAATCTGTCTTGGTGACCTTCACACTAGTCCAGGCAGTGCTCTTGTTATCTTTCCCGCTCTCAGTTGGCTTTTTATCTTTCCCAACGGAGGCAGCAGGTCCACCAGTCTTGCCCGCCACTTGCGCACTTGGCTTGGCCAATGCTGGGCCCGTGGCTTTAGTTGCAGCTGATCCTGTAGATTTTCCTGGAGCAGCGGATCCTGTAGATTTTCCTAGAGCAGTGGATCCTGTGGATTTTCCCACAGTAGCGGATCCAGTGGACTTGCCAACAGCCGTTCCTGCAGAACTAGGAGACTTCCCGGCTGCTGAAGCTGCTGAATCGGACAACTTAGCCTTGGCAGCTAAACCTGTTGCCCTAACAATAGTAGGCGCAGTTAGTTTGGTAGACGCCGCAGCAGTGGGTTTGCTAGATGCTGGCACAGTGGGTTTGCTAGACGCTGATGCAGCTGCTTTGATTGCTGTAAGGGGAACTGTTGACTTAGCTTCGGAAACTGTGTCTGAGCTCTTGCCCACAGGACTGAGAGGCTCGTTAAGGTCAGCACTGAGCAACTTCTCAATTTGTTTCTCCAGCTCCTCTTGGGACTTGCGATTGCTGACCAGCTGTGGGTCATTCGTCCCCAGTCCTTTCCTCTGGCTTTTGCGCATGAGTTCCCCCTGCTCTTTCTTCGTTTTCTCCAGCTCTGACTTCAGTGTGGAAAGCTTGGTCTGCCTCAGGGACAAGTTGACCATCATTTTTTCTCGCTCCTCTTTAGTAGCCTTTGACATCTGCCGAAAAAAAATAGAACAAACTGTCAGCCCCTTAAAGAAGCCAAAGACAAAGGAAAGGTTTTATGTTTATAAAAAAATTTGCTGTAAGACAACCTTTGTAGTCCACCAAACCACTTCCTTGAATATAAATTAGTATGACGACACAGTTGTACTGGAGATGAAAACAACACTGGTCCATTAAACAAAAATCAATGATGTTCAATCATGATAATCTAAACAAGAGTGATGCCTCTGAAAATACCAACAGCTCAACACACTAAAGCTGAACACAAGGAAGGATAATTATTTAAGCTGCAAGTCTGCATAATAACCATCACTTTTCGTCAGGAACAGCTCAAGATTAATTACAGCAATAATGGAAACAGTAGAGATATCAGAGTCCCCTCTAATCACCTACAGAACATGCACAAAACATGATGAACTGCCCAAGGACAGGGGGAAAAAAATTTACCTGCATTAGCTGGAGAATATCTTCCAAGGACTCATATTGCCAGTGTGGGGACAAAAAGCTGTCTAAAGCTATTCACTTTCATCTGTCCAGATTAAAAAATTCTAGCTAATTAAAAAGTTTGCCAATACACACGTAACTTTGTATGTCACTCTTTTAGGCCAGCAACCAAACATTTTTGGGGGGGGGGGGGGGGGGGCTGGGTAAAAACCCTGATCAAGTAATAGAAAAGTTTCTTTATTTGGGTCCTACATTAAACACTGACCTTTGAGTGTAAACAAAAAATGACTTACAGTAACCTACACTACAAAATGCTAATTTTGAGACAGCAACATTACCATGATTACCCTGTCCCCATACTTCAGTGTAAGTTTGTAGCTTCCTTCACAAGACAATCTTGAAAAGCACTCCCCAGTCCGCTGAGCTGTGTTTCATAGGCATGCGTTGAACTGTGGCGTTGATATAAATCGGCCAATTTTTTTTACATTTTAGGAGTATGCTGTAAATCCTTTATTATATCATTTTTTTGCCCCACTCCAGGCTAAAATTTTAGAAACTGTCAGAACTCAAGTCTGCAGTGGCCTTCAGTAATGGGCTTTTAGATTTTGTTAGTCATCCAGCTTTTTAGACCTACATGCAAAGACACTGAAAGATTTAACAGAACAATTTGTTTTTATCTTATGTTTTACAATCAGACAGATGAAAGTGAACAGGCTACAGCAGATATGAAAGGTAAAGGAAGAAGTAGTACCTTCTCGAACTTGATGTAACCCTCATACTACATCCATCTATTCATGAACCCATTCAAAATGACAACTCCATCTATCAATTTACATATATCTAATTTGTACGGGGAGTTTTTATAAACTTTTATCGATTTGTCTCTGCCAAAAATCGCATAAAATTATTTTCCGTAGTATTTAACTCTACTTTATTTGAGTAGCCAAGCCTGTTTTAGGGACCAACCTGACAACAAAAACTAATAGTGATCTCTAAAATAGATGGTACTAAAAAGCTTACCTTTAAAAGCAGTTCTCTGCGCTGCTCTACAGGAATCTCTGTCAATTTTTCAACGGAAGAAATGATGGTGATCTTAGTTTGATCCACAGTCTGTCCCTTTTCTTCTAGCATCTTCTGCAGGTATGCTTTCCTCTCGTGTGCTGGCAGTTTAGAAACATCAACTTTTGGCTTTTGCAGTTCTTTTTCACCTCGGTGGTCAATTTTGTATTTGTCCGTAGCAGGCTTTTGGCTCGTTGCTTGTTTTCTTTGCACTGGGGACCTCCGTCTGGTAGGTGACTTTCCTTTTTCATCTTTCGAATACCTCTTCGCCGGGTACCTCCGTCGCCGGTCAGGGGATCTAGATCTTCGCTTTCCAGGACTACGCGAGCGCCGACGTCCTGGGCTCCTTGAACGTCGCCTGTCTGGGGTCACTGATCTTCGTCGACCTGGGCTTCTCTGCCGTTGTCTTTCTGGTGTTCGAGATTTCCATAAATCGCGAGAGCTAGGGGACTTCGACAAGCGAGGCCCCGGACTTCTGAACCTCTCTCGCGAGCCTCTTCTGGGCACATCATAATGGACCAGATCATCGTAGGCTCGACCCTGATAGATCTCAGCTCTAGGAGGGCTACGACTTGGTGAACGGTATCTACGAGGGTACTGGTCAGCAGGAGATTCGTAAGGAGACATATCCCTATTCCGCTGTGGAGACCTATACCTTTCAACGGTATAGTCATTGCGGCCACTCAGAGAGCTTCTTCGACCTGGTGATGCAGAACCAGCAGGAGAGAGAACTCTTCTTGTTTTGGGATAAGGGGCATTTGAGCTACCATAATAATCATTGTAACCTTTACCACCCATTTCGTCTCCAGAGACAGGGTCATATGGAGACATTACTCGTTTCCGATTCCGCCTGTACTCGGGGGACCGTGAACTTCGACCGGGTGGTGACTTGGACACAAAGCGGCGCTGATCTGACCGAGCAGGAAGAATGATTCTTCGTGTCTCAGAGAAATCGCTGCCATTGTCAAAGTTGGACATTACCCGGAAATTTTCAACCTGGGCCAGCTTAGACCCAGATGGAACACTCAGTCTTTCAGAAGAAACACGGTCTCCCTCCTTCCTCCTTGAACTGAGCGTCGAGAAAAGAGGCACACCACCAGAGTTGTCCACTGCTTCCTTCTCATCCGGATAGTAATACTCATCTTTGTAGTCATCTTGAAATCGCTCACTGACCCGATGCCTTGAATCATCGGGTGATCTCCCATACCCACTTCTGGAAGAGACTGGTGGAGAGTCTTGATGCACATTTGATCTTCTTGAGTACTGCAGCTCATCTCTACCTCCGCTTAATGATCTTCTAGATTGTTGAGTCTCGTCATGTCTATCATTAGAGAAAGAATGCCTGTCCTCGATATCATCTCTTTTCGGGAAACCTTCATGGTAAGAATCTTTTTCCTTGTACCTACCAGCCCCTGGCTTGTCATCCCGTCTGTTTGAGCGACTATCTACATTACCTTTTCCCCTCTCAGAACTTACACGTCTCTCGGGACTCCTCTCATCCTTATACAACTCTCTTGTCTTTTCAAACTCTGAACTCGGCCCTCTCCCCCTCTCGGATGCTTTACTTCTGAACAAACCCTCTAGGAATTTCTCATCTACTTGCCTTCTAGATGTAGGAGACAGTCTCCCTTCCCTATCAGGACTTCCCCTGCGACCACCCATACTAGCTCTTGCTTCTCTTAACAAGGTTTCAATATTTGCATCATCTTGCTCATGTCTAAGCCTCTTAACTATATCTTTCTCACGAAGTTCTCCACTCTCACCTCCTAAGAAAGAAGCAGCCTCATTCACAATCCCAGTCTGAAGGCTATCCTCCTCCTCTTTTTTTTTACGGGCAAGCTCTTGCATTCTTTTGGATAGATCAAAATTAAAGCCAATAGAGTGAAGAATATTTTGCACGGTAGAATCAATGTCTTCGTTTGAACCGGACTCTTGGGAAACCTGCCTTGAGGGAGAAGAGCTTTTAACCTCTGCCTTCTGTGAAGACTTGCTGGATTCCTTCCTTTTGCTACTGTCTGCTGCAGAACTGCCTTGATTAATAGACTGTCGCCACTGCTCAAAGAGCTTTTCTTGGACATCATACGTGTCTGTCTCTCGTTTAATCGTCTCCGCATCGGGAGGCAGAGAAGCACGAACACTGGTATGGACCGGGGGAGCGTCTGAGTACAAGTGCTCGTCTTCTTCATCACCTCCATAGCTTTCAATCTGACTCAGTCCCCCATCCACATCGCGGTAGGACGAGAGTTGACCAAGAGCACCTTTCAACTCTGCAACACTCCTCTGACTCTCTGACTTTGACACAGAAGATGATGACTGTGGAATAGTGGACTTGCCGCGCAGCAGCTGCAAGGTCCTTTCTAGGGTACTAAGATTAGACAATGACTCACTTGTACTTGCACTCTGTGATACAGTGCTCACACTTGGCATGCTGCTCTTCTGTTTCAGGATAGATTTTGGCTTTTGCTGTGCTTCACCACTTGCTGAGGGAAACAACTGAGATGAAGATTTTGAAGACTCACTAACAAACGCAACAGACTCTCTGTTGTCCTCATTTTGAAGTGACTGTTCTAATTTTGCAGTAGCTTTAGAAATACCTGCAAACAGAACACTTTTCAACCTCTCATCTTGTAGAAGAGCATCTAGATCCAAGCCTGACATCTGGTTCCCAGTCTGGGAACTTGGTGTGGATTCTCGTTGACTATTTTGTGGCTTTTGACTGGTATGTCCATAATCTGTCACAGAATCTGCTGGTCTGCTCCCATATCGACTATCCCCCCCTCCTTGGGCTTGACTCTCTCGGCCATATGATGAGTACTCTCTTGAAGGTCCAAACCGATCAGAAGGAGGATGGCTGTAACCCGGCTCCTGTGAATGAAATTATAATTCAATGTTAGCCCACTGCAGCTAAAACAATTAGCAATTACACGCAGGACATGGATCAGCTGTGATTTCCTTGCAACCTTAAACTGTCCCCGGAAAAAGTTGCATTCGAAAATAGCAAAAGTTGCAAAAAGCTGCATTTGAAAAAAGCAAAAGTTGCAAGATGCCTATAGCTATTTTAATGTAAAAAAACCACTGAGTACAGGTAAATGACATACTAAAAAAAAGGGGTACAGAAATGGACGAAAACCAAGAATAAAGATCTGGAGTAATTCTGAGATTTTAGTTTCTTAATCTTTAACCATTTTCTGTACATCAAATGTACACTGTTGTATGTGACATAACAGGCCCAATGACCTTGCGGTACCTAAGGCACCTGCCTCGGGATCGGGAGGTCGGGGGATCGAGTCCCAGCTCCGACGTGTGATACCTAAGACTTTAAAATTGACATTTTAGCATCTTTCCCGCCTGGGGCCTAGCATTATGGGAACAGTGCTAAGACTGGTCATCCCGTTGTCAGAATACTGGGTGGGGCAAACGAGTTGTGCTATACCGTTTGTCTCATGTGTGGCAGCACGGAAAAAATGTCTAAATAGCACTGTCTCTTAACTCTTTATCTTCGGCAAGTCGCGGTCCGAACCACTGAGCCAGTGAGATGCTGACAGCGGCTCAGGCATACTCCTTTACAACGACTTCGACGTCAAATTACTTTTTGGCAATAGGTCTCTTTTACCGGGAGCGCATTCATTAGATGAAGAACTGTGAAAATAAATTCACTTGTTTTGATTTAAAAACAGTTTTGTGGTGTTTATGTCATTTTTAAAATTTTGTACCAAAAGAGGACCCCAGCATAGTAGGTTTTTACCCCCCTTCGGAGATAAAGAGTTAAATAACCTTACAATTAGTGTTGCATGGTATCTTAGGGGTTTCCTTGATGAACCGATCCATGTCTAGATATCTACCCTCCTAGCCTAGATTTAAAGTCTCACAAATACTAGATCAATCTACTTGGTGCTATAGAAACAAATGCGAGCTAAGTAATCAGACGATCGTGTTTACAATTGATTTACTGTACTGCAGATCTAGATAGAAGTAAAAGATGATTCTGTCCAAGTGAATGCCTCGCTCTTTCAACAATCCGCTTCTTGAACGTGTAAACAGGTCAGTGAACCTGTGCGTTCACATCACATAATGAGTATAGAGCTCCGGAATGGGAGGATTACTGATTTTTTTAAAAGGTACAGTCGGGGGAGGGGTAGGACCGTGGGGTTGAAGGCAACACCGGATGACAAAAACTGAACTCGGGAGTTCTGAACTGCCCGGTTACCGTGTATGTGATGTGACACTGATATTAGGCCTACAACATGCCCGGTTGCCGCGTACGTAGATATTGAGGCTAGGTGCCCGGTTACAGTGATTTGACATCGAAGTCGTTTTAAAGGAATGACCGCTTTTTCGGTAGTTCCCAGGCCCCCATTATTATTCGCCGGTTTTGGCTTCAAGAGTAGGGGAGTTTCAACATGCAATTAAACGTAGAACGACGCAAACTATATTTAGGTAAGGCGGCCATCTTGTTTGACGTCAGACCTGGATACCCCTCCGATCACGTGACCACATCTAAGTATAGCCAACCGCACGGCACCAAAGATGGAGGTGTCTATGTATATATATATATATATCAAGCTTAATCTACCTCTCGCTGTTGGAAGTTCTGATGGCCGAATGGACAGCGCGTCTGCGTTTGAAGTCATTCAATTATTTTATGAGCGGTTCGAATCCGGTCCCGGAAGGGTTTTTTTTTTCTCTTCTCCTACTCCTGACTGACCAACAGTTTGTCCCATAAATTATAATTTGTTGCTTTGTAGTTTGTTTTTTAGTGATTAAGAATACTGGTGGAGGTAGATCTAGATTCTAGATCTAATCCTCCAGCGTCTTTACGGCAGTTTTCGGGCGGTTTATTGTCTTTGCATTTACTGTGTTTCAATTTCAAACATCAGCGTTCTTAATCTTACTGTTCTGAGCATCAACGATCTAGATCTAGATCTAAGCGATCTTCCATCATGTCCAACTACTAAATCTAAGAATTCCAAAATGTTATTAACATACCGAAAACACATCCGGTACCTCCACGGCCTTCTTAAAATCAGCAATGCCCACTGAGCGCGTTTTGTTCTGCCGATTTTTGACCCCCGGAGCGGGGGTGTTTCGTGGGACGCACTAACGCAAAGGTTGTTGTCTTCAACTCGCTCTCACGCCGCTTCTCGTGAATGGATATGAATGAAACTTGGCAGCCAATTAGAAAAGAGGTCAATCTCGTAGTATGCAGTTTGACAACATTGTACCCATCCAAGAAGTAGTCGAAAACCTTTGAGAAAGTGGTTGATGTGGTGCGCTTTGAAGATTTTTAGGAGCTGTGATTTGTCAAACTGACTGATATGTTGTACACCATTTTTCTTTATTCCCTTAAAATTGCATGCTTCTGTGTTTAGCGGTTTTCGCGTAATCTTTAAAAATGTGGGAGTAACTAAGGGAAAAGCGGCATTGCCATTTGCGCGTGCTGGGTGAATGACCGGCGGCTGGGAAATTTCCACTGAGTGACGTCATCAGCCATTGGTCTCCTCGGGCGCTACAAACGAGGCCCCGCTTATGTGAACCGGAAAGGGGGGGGGAAGGATACTTGAAAACTAAACGGGGGCCTTGATAACTTGCGTTTTTGTTGCATTTTAGTCACAATACAATAGATGTAGTCTTTTTTACTTGCTTGATTGCATGACAGAAGAATAGAAACAGAAAAGCAGACTTCTTGAGAAGTGGTATGGCATTGTGTTTGCGTTATGAAAGCCTATTCCCCCCTCTTGGGAAAGCACACTCTTGGACTCGTCCTGTGTGCTCTGTTTGGAAAAGTGAGGCTTTAAGATTGTTATAATTAAAGAGTATGGTACGTATTTAGTCCAGTCTCAGAAGATAGTCCCGTTTATACATTGTTATGGTTCACGCGTGCGTGCGTGAGTGCGCGCGCATGTGTGTGTGTGTGTGCGTGAGAGAGAAAGAGAGAGAGAGAGAGAGAGAGAGAGAGAGAGAGAGAGAGAAAGAGAGAGAGAGAGAAAGAGAGAGAGAGAGAGAGAGAGAGAAAGGGGGGGGGGGTGAGTTGTAGCCTACACATGCGAAATATTCCCATGACTTGTAAACTATATATTATTTGAACGCATCTTAATCTACCACACAATAGGACACTGTCCAACAATGGATAAACACAGGGACGATCTTATTTTCTATAACAAAGTGTGCATGCTTTTACTAGTAGAGAAGAACTGGATTTATTAGACTAATAAATCCAGCTCTCTACTTACATTTTTGTGACAAATTGATCCAGAGCATTGCTTGACAAGGAGGAACCTTTTCTGTTGCCAAGTTTCATTCAAATATCATGACTTTGGGAGAACATATGACTGACAATCTTTGTAAATCCTTAAAGAACGCCACTTTTTTACCTGTTAATGACTTTACAACTCAAAAAGTATGACAGATATTTAAAATCTGACAGCATGACTAGATTCTGCATTAAAAAATGTACTAGACTGCCAAGTTTCATTTACATATCCCAAGAAATAGGCGAGCTATGACAAATATTGTCTCAAAACGCACAGAAAACCACCACATTTTTTCCTATAAACGTCTTGATAACTCAAAAAGTAGGATAGCTATGAAAAATCTGAAAGCAAGACTAGATTCTGCACTAGACAATGTACTGGGTTGCCAAGTTTCTTTTAAATACTCCGAGAAATGAGCGAGTTATGACGAATATTGTCTCAAAACTCACCTAAGAACGTCCCATATTTTGGGTTTTTTCATTATAATAAAAGCGTACCAAAAATTAATTGATTAAGAAATTCGTAACTTTTTTGTTTATTGATGGATTTCAAAAATTCTAAAAGTCCCATGCTCTGTGAAGATAGAGCTACAAAATGCACCTATTTGCAAACACTTTCTGGCAAAAAAAAGTTTTTCGTGGTCATTGCTACATTGCTGAAGTACGGCTAGCCTGGCTGTCTACCCGTACTTAAAGTACGGTTAGCCAAGAAGTCTAGCCGTACTTAAGTATGGCTAGACTGCCAGTCTAGCCGTACTTATCTTAGGCCCTATTAACATTAGAAAACAGGGGGTTTAAAATATTTGCACTGTCATTAAGGCACCTGGTTTCATCTCAAATACAAATACTTTAGGTACTGTAAACTAAAAATTTATAATTCATAGGCCTATTATTTTTTTTTATTGTCAGTCTAGCCATCATATGAATAAGTACGGTTAGCCAACTAGTCTAGCCGTACTTAAGTACGGCTAGACTGCCAATCTAGCCGTCATTAAGTACGGCTAGCCTCTTCCTTTTTTTTTTTCTCTTCTCCTCCTCCCGACTGACCAACAGTTCCATATATATATATATAAAAATTATAATTTGTAGAGCTGCTTTGAAGTTTGTGGTTTTAAAAAAAATATATTAGTGATTAAAAATGCACAAGGGGTGGGGGGGGGGCTGGATCTAGATTTAGATCTAGATTCTAGATCTAATCGTCCAGCGTCTTTACGGCAACTTTCGTGCGGTTCATTGTCTTTGTGTTTACCGTGTTTCAGCGTTCTTAATCTTACTCTTCTGAGCATCGACGATCTAGATTAGATCTAGATTCTAAATCTAGGAAATCCTAAATGTTAGGCCTACAGAAAACACGTCGTTCCATGTGGGTATCCCAGGAAGTGATGACATCACAGTACTAAAATTAGCAGCCAATCAAAAAGATGCGTCTTTTCTACGTTTAGCGGCATGTCATGTCTCTCACTGCGCATCAAACATATAGTATATAGATTCTAGATCTAGATCTAGAGGCCCAAATAAGGGGGGTGGGAACTAAAACGCCAAGGAATGTGCCTGCGCCCTGAGCCGCTCCGAAGCGGCTCACCAGCGGCAGCAAAGCAGTTTCAACCACAACACGAGCCACTGTGAGCAGCATGCTGGAGATGGAATTATTGCAAAAAGACGAAGATTAATTGAGAAAACCTAAAACACTTACATGATATAATCCCCCTGGGGCTGGAAGTGGTGCTGGTATTGGGGGTGGAGCACCATAATCTAATACAGGTGGAGGTCCATAACCTGATCGATAGGGATCATGCTGAGGTGGTGGTGGCCTTGGTGGAGCTTGATAAGGATCTGCACTAGATCTATATCCACCAGGTCCTCCATACGGCCCTGGACCATATCCCCTGTCATCTCTGTGGCGACCAGATCCACGTCCGCCACGATAAGACATTCCAAATGTTTGGCTTTAGAAACGAAAGCAGAAGTAGGTTCTGTAAGGACTGAAGAAACCCGTCTCCATGCAAGAACCGGTGGCGTGCTCAAGAAGTTTATTTAAGGCAATTTAAATTTAAGGCATTTTCTAAATTTCTGTCACAAGATATGAAATGAGATTGTGTATGAAAGTAAATTATTGGTTAAACTGTGGATATTAATGTGAAGTTAAAAGGTTAAATAGTTATTTCGAGATAGACGACAAGTAATCCTTGCAGTTCTGTTTAGGGGTGCGCAACGTCTCATTTTGTCGCTCTCAGTCTCTCAGGGATTTGGCGGACATGTTTAATGTTTGGGTGCACAAAATGGTCTGCTGTGTGAGGCTAAGGGTGCCAGATTTGACTGAGATATAAAACTAATGTTAAATTGAAACGTCAAAGTAAAAGTCATTCACCTCATGGTTTTCAACCCACAGCGCCGGTTTTAAAATGAAACTGTTTGTTTTACAAGCTTTTGATTCCAAAGTATGCACTCATTTGAGAAAAATACATAGATCTATGTACTTTTATATATTATTATTATGTTTTAAATTCTGCTGAATGGCAAGGCTATGTGAGAGAAGAGAGAGGAGAAACGAAAGCAAAAAGGGATGTAGAGGCCTAATTTGACGTAGGCCTGTTACGGTATAAGTTAATTCTTGTTCATGTACGAAACCGGTGAAAATATTGTGACCTTAATTGTCCAAATGACAACTATATATATATATATATATATATATATATATTATCGCTCTTCAGACGGAGTGCACGTAACTGAACCCAATCAGCTGCTGATAAAAAAGACGTCTCTTACCTCTGAAAAAGTTACTGTTTCCATGATCTGGATGACAGCTTTGCTATTTTTTTTCTTCGCCTGTCCTTATATTTGCCAACTGCATGAGCTTGCGATAACAATATCAAGATGGAATGTCGATGGATAGTCCCACAAAATCGCCACTAATCAATTTCTGTACAGTTTTTCAGTGGTTTCCAACAACAACAAAAAACCCTACCCAACAAGTAGTAGATCTAGTAGTAGTGCGGGCCAACAATGCCTCTCTGGAAGGTTACACACGAAGTGCAAAATTTCCTTTAGGCTCTAACTCTAGCATGTGACAACATCTCTAGTGAAGCCTGGATGCCTGATGGTGCTTTAGTTTGTGAAGCTTCAAATAACAACTCTTTCACGTGATTATGGATGAGGTGAACAACCATAAAATACTTGGAAAATGCAAAAACAGGGCCATCTCCAGTTCTGCTGAGCAAGACAATTGTATTATAATCTTTACTCTTTGCAACATTGCCAATGGCTGTCGGCTTCATATCCATTGTTTGATAAAACTGAATAAAACTTGAAGGCATCTCTTTCTTTAATGTATACATTCATTTCATCAATATCAGCAGCTCTAGAAGAAGCTGAACTTGTTGTAGTTGCTTTTTTTTGGTAGTACTTCTGGAAATATTGATGGAGGCTTTGTGGGCACTATAAATCTTCCAGCCCGTGTCAAAGGTACATCAGGTGGGAAGTGCAGAGAGCAAATTCTCATACATTGTAATCCATGACATCTTCTAACATGACAAATTTATTTGGAACACTTTTGATCCATTAGTGTGCTTTTTTCTGAATCTTTTGGAAATCTGTATTATTGTTATTTTGCTATCTCCCTCTTGGCTGGCATAACCACTTCTACAGCCCCACCCCCTACACTTTCTTCCCATGTTCAAATTTGAAATGTTGCTCACACGGTTCATTGCCCTGAAACTGAGACTGAGACGTCAGCTGAAAATTTTTTCACAATAACATTCAAGATGAAAGAAAACTAAACTCTGAGCTGAAGACAAAAACACACAATATAAGCACAAATTTAATCCTCAGAATTGAGTGTAGTGAAAATACATCCAATCAAACGAAAAAAATATTTAACCGTGTACATCCCAAGAGCACTGAATGAAACAATGAAGAGGCTAGGAAATTAGATAGACTAGACGGCTACACACTACACACATTATTATTACACTATCGGCACGCAAAAGCGTAATGCAAAAATGTTCCACCACCTGTATACGTTTTAGTATTAGACAAGGAGTTTAGAACTAATGCTGAACTGTGCTGGCAACCTTTAGAATTTTGCAAACGATAGATATACAAGCTCCTTCCATTTATCTCTGTCCTGGGCCATCCTTCCAAGCTCGTTCCAAGTGAGCTTCATCTCTCTCATGTCCCTTTCCACACATACATCTCCTCCATGTTTCCCGTGGCCTACCCCTGCCTCGTGCTCCTTGTGGGTTCCACTGCAGCGACTGTCTTGTGAAGTTTGTTTAAGTAAGAGTTTTTAATAAGGTCATATAAAAGTGTCGAAGATTAGAGGTGTTACATGAGAGTAACAAACACAAAAAAGAAGGAGGATAGATCAGGAGGATAGATGTTTGACAGGAAAGAAGGAGCAAACTACACCAGAGCACCCGCCAACCAACCACTCTTTTGATGTTTCCGCTGGGCTGTCTGAAGGTGTGTCCCAGAGAGAGAGACAGACAGACAGACAGACAGACAGACAGACAGACAGACAGACAGACAGACAGACAGACAGACAGACAGACAGACAGACAGAAAAATCTTTACCCTCAAAATTGTCAAACCTGCCAAACAAACACGAAACACTCATTCCAATTTAACGGAAACCAAGCTAGTTCACGATGAGCTGGTGAAATACATTATTAATCTATGACTGTTTGCTTGTTGCCATCCCGAACACACATTCTTTGTCACTTGAAACTTACACACCCCTCCCCCCTCCTTTTCTTTTTTTAAAAATAGAAATTAACGTGGAGTTAATTGGTTATGTTTTGAAATAACCCGAGACGAGTGACGCATACACACACAATTAATGAAAATAATAAAATAAAATGTCACTTCCCACAATTTATAAGTAATATTTTAATAATAATTTAATACGTGTACGTGAACAACGTTGTGCTTGGGCTCATTTCTTTCTGTTCGTGAACACAGAATAAATAATATGATGTTTGTTAGAGTGATCTAAAGAATGCCCAAGGATAACTGTCATTTTGTGCCAGCAGAGACAATAGAAATTAAATGTAGGAGGGGGAAAAAAAGCGTGGGACCTGCCAGTGGCGCCCTTCAATCACTCGCGATTCTGAATGACCCCCCCCCCCTTCCCCCCGGACTCACTCCCCGAAAAAAAAAGAAAAAAAGAAACCTTTCCACGTCAGTCTTTTCCCTATAAAACCAATCGCTGACCAGACATCAGGATACGATTCAGGGGGGGGGGGGGAGGCTTGGTGCAGTAATGAGATTTACCTGGGCCTGGAGTCAAGGCGTACAGCTACGGGTAAAACTAAAGTACAGTCGAACCTGGGTAAGACGGTTATCCATTATCGAGGAGAAAACTCGCCGTCCTAGGCAGGACTGATGAAAATCAAAATAAAGAAAACAAACCGTTCCATTCTGAGGTCCCAACCTGAGGTGGTCGCAGCCTTAGGACTGGTGAAATGTGTCCATTATAATTATGGTCTTGTCTTGCGACAAAACACTACTGCTAGGTCCAACCCTCCTTGCTCCCCCCCCCCCCCACACACACAGCCCCCGTTTTAACCCCTCTGCCATTTCCATAACCTTTCTCTTTGTTGTTCCAGACACCACTTGGCTTGATTACAAGTGGCAGGGGCAGAATGGTTGAACTGTTAGGATCATCACATTACACATAAAAGACACACGTTTGATTCCCACATGGGGAGGGAATGGCATCTGGCATCTTCATTATCAGCACCAAAAATTTCATAACTGTAGTTACAATATGGGGGGAAGTTATGTCATCTAGTTTCCTACTCAGCCAGCCTGGACTGACCCTGACAAGCAGGATCTCCCATATGATCTAAATTGTGTCGAAAATCATTTACAAAAATCCTTTGTATTTATCTACTCTGAAACTTCAAATACATGTATAATAAATTTTGCTTGTCAGCAAGCATTGAGGAGTCTTGTTATCCAGCGTCACTGCAGTTGTTACACAGTCTCAGTGTATTGAACAGGTTAATGGAAATTTAGACCACTCAGATCTAACAAAAATTCGCTACGAACTGAATTGCAGATTGGGGTATATAAATGACAAACAGCATGTTTTGTTCAAAATTAGAGCAAACTACGATAACTGAGATCATTTAATTTGCATGGAGTCGAGTCAACCTGATCACTTAGGATAAAGAGATTTGCTTTACCCCGACTCTGACCCCCACCACATCTTCAAGTAAATGTTATATTAGACAGAGACATTGGTAGTTGTCGCCACTTATTTCTTTTCCTGGATACTTTGAACTCTAAATCAATTTATTATCCTGGTCTTTTACTGTCATCCATATATATGTAAGTGATTCTTGGTCTACTTCTCCCTTTATTGCCTTCTATTTTTGCCAGTGAGAGCCAGATGTTCAAGGCCTTTACCTCGCTTCAAGTGTCAAGAAACCGCTACGAACTACAATGTAACTTTTATATCAAAGAAAATAACGAAAACACAGCAAGATCATTTTAATGAATGTACATATTTTATTAGCAAATGGAAAAAATTGCAAATGAAATCACATGATTTCATATGAAATGCATGGTAAAGACAAAAGAAATGAGACCATATTTTAAATACAAATTCAAACCGGACAAGATCCTTCAACAATTAAAACAAAATCCTCTTTGAAATACCAAGAAAGATTTTTGAACTCTTTTTACTCAATCTTTACATTACTCTTGATCAATAAAGTATTCTGACAGAAATAAACTCCACCTTAAAATTCAAAAACAAATTAAAAGTAAATTGAGGGGCCAGAATGAAATAGATGAAATTTTAAGGTCTGAAATATCTATTGTGCATTTAAGTAAAGAGAAGCACACATAACAGCCATTTAGAACGCTGAAAAATTGACAGGAAACTAAAAAAGACAAATATCTCTCTGCTGTAACCCCCCCCCCCCCCCCCCCCCTAACAATTCTTCCTAAAAATGTTGACCACATGTAAATTGTCCCACAAAGTGCTGTAATTTTTCAAGGTTTCTCAGTTCGAAGATAATTGTAGCTGCGAGATGGGTCTGTTGGGAACAAAATCTGACACTGGGTGAGCAGTCGCTTCACAGCCTGTAGAGGACATTGAAAATATATGCGTAAATTGACCAGTTAATTTTATGTATAATGTTCATGCACATGTATCTTGTATCAAGATAAAGGTATGGTAAACCAAACTGAGCTATATTCAAGGCAGCCAGTCCACCTCACATATTTTAGAAATTAACATTATTAACAAACAAAAACAAAAACAAAAAAATAAAAATGAGTAATCTGACTGAAAAATTCTTAATATGGTCATGGATAGTTTTTTTCTACTGGGGAGTCAAGGACAGGGTTGTATGTTCAATGATGAGAGTTACATTAAACAAGAGGTGAGCTCGTCTTTGTGATTTGATGAGGAAAAAAAAGGGAGTGTGTGTGTGTGTGGATGGGGGCTCTATTTATCGGCTGTGAGCTTGAATTTTGCATCACATGAATTTGATCCTGATTGTGTGTCACTACACACCATGCCGTGGGCCACAGCTGATAGTTTCAATTTTAGAACAATGACCATTTAAAAAAACCATTCTCTCATTGGCCTGTGTGGTCAGCCACAATGCAAAAGCAGAAACTTTCTAATACCCCGTCAAACTAACGTTTGCCTTATTCCTGGCTCTGGCACATCTAATGTCTGTCTAACGGCAGAGTGACACTGAGCGACTACAAGTACAAGGGTTCTGTGCACAGAGGTTGTTAAAATTAGACAGCTGCACATGATGTATTGACAAAGAGTGCAGAAGTCGGATTGTTTTCTTCCACAGTCTCCAAGAGGGGGGAGGTTGGGTTGGAGTAGCTAAGCGGCAAATAAATTTTGAAAAATTGGAATCAGGTGTCTTACGATTACATTTTTGTAACATTGAAAAAAAATAAAAAATTGTGACGATTGTACAAAATTCAAGATGGTGGGTATCCCTGTGTGATGTACTGGAGTGGGCTTTAAAGAAATAATCTGTTCTATTATCATTATTATTCTGAAAAGTTTTATTGTACTCATTCACACTAATGTATTATGAAAGCCCCTGGGAACAGATTGAAACGTGATATGGTATGGGTTTAATGCCCTTACCAACACTATTTGGTTATTTAACAGACAGAACCTCTGACAGTTTAGTTTTAGTAGAGGTATTATGGTGCTCGTAACGGCATAAGGTCATATGAGTGCCAGAAGATTAGAGGTGTTACAAGAGAGTAACAAACATAAAAAAGAAGAAAGGGAGATAAGGACGATAGATTATTGATAGGAAAGAAGGAGCATACCACTCTAGAGCACCCACCAACCACCCACAGAACCTCTGAGTTTAATGTCCCTCTCCAAAAGGACCAAGCCAAGTAGGAAATTCAGGAAAAGCGCCTTTCCCAAGGACACAACGTCGGACCAAATTGAGGCTCGGACCCCCAAACCCCGAATCTCAAAATTATGGGTCCAATGGCCTACTAAATCACTCACTACCAACACTATGAAACAAATTGATCTTAACACTTTTCCTGAGGCACATAATGAACCCATTACCATACCCTAAATGGTTATGTAGAAGAGCAAATCTCTAGTCTCATGCAGTCCCTAATGAATATCCCTTATTACATGGGTGTGAGCGAGGGACGGTAGAAGTGCACGGCTTAACTGGG